CAACCATTACTGGAATGACAGGACCATTCCAGTATCAGGAGAACGCTGGGGGGAGAAACAAAATGGAACAACTTCAGGGAAGAGCTAAAGAGAGATTAATACATTTGAAAATACGGTAAAAAACTGATGGGAGACCTAGAAAGTGATAGTTATTAAGTAGCTACGTGTGGAACAAACAATAAGCAGATAGAAATTTCTACAACAGATAAAAGTAATAACAAAGGCCAGTGATTCAAACTGAAGACAAACAAATACAGGTCGAAAGCAAGAGTTTTATCTATTTTTTTAACTCAGGTTGATTAACCCTTGGAACTCCTTTATCTTCTCCAGACCATACTCTCTCTAGATAGTGGAAAATGGAAGATGGATGCTTTCCTAGTGCAGGTGTTTTCCTTCCAGCACACCTGATCAGCACAGGCAAGCACTTGATTCCTTTTCAAGGGTTAAAACTGATAACCACAAAAGTTCTTCTGATCTTGAAAAATTAATCTTTCCCCTTCCCAGCTGTGCTATGGTGGCACTATAGGCGTCTACAAGAAAATGGATCCTCTATCATCATGAGCACAAGGGAAGACCCTTAGGAAATGCCTACAAAAGAAAAGTGTGCACTTCTGGGTTTTAGGCTGTGCAGTGGTTAAATTTCCCTGATGAAAGTGAAATCCTTACAGAGGAGGCCTAATGATAGTCTACAGTGAAACCTGAATCACAGCATGGTATTTCTGGTAAAGCGTTCTTAGAAAAACCTTACGTCTTTAACAATATCTTTGGCTGGAATAGCTAAGTTTCTCCGAATCCACAGAGGTGGTAATGGTGCAAACTTATTGTTAAAGCAGGCTGACATTTTATGTGGAGAGAAAACCAGCTGAATCTGTTAATGATTTGAGGTCAGATTTGAAGAATAGCTTTCATGAGAATTTTTTTTAGGTTGAGACCATTCTGTTCAGACTCTTTCAAAATGGATCTTTTTGGAATGTTTGTTTTGAAGTAATGCATTACTTAGAAATCATGCTATTTTTAGAGGGGAAAAAAAGAAAACCAAACAAAAATGGTCTTGTTTCCTGTCAAATAAAGTGTATTGCTCATTATGGACCCTCATGATGTAAAAACTTTGTTTGCTGAACTTGTACGCCAGGTTTTTGTGCAATTCTATTTGTGCTAATTTGACTGTATGCAGACTACCTGTGCAAGGCATAACATGGGCTCAGTTTGTGCTGCAGTATTGTATGCACTTATATTCAGAACTATAGCCCACCCTTGTGGCAAGAGGTGCTTATTAAATTAGGAGTTAACACCATTTTGATAAAAAAAGATTCTAGTCCCCTTTCCACAGCAGTTCAGATGATGTTTTTCTTCTCATAAAGAAATTCTAACTTTCGTGTTCCCCTAGACCCTTTGCATTTGACAGTCACAAAAGATGGTCCCCGCGATGGCAATGCCACGCTGCAGTCGGAAGGTCCTACCTCAGGAGCAGAAGATCAGGCCTGCTGTCCTCTCCCAGTCCCCGCAGGCAGCAGCCACGTGATGCTACGACTGATGCTTGCCAGGTCACCTTCTCAGCAGAGTCACCTCTTCTGCAGGAGTGACTGGGTTTAAAAAGCTGAGGCACTTACTGGTAAAGACAGAAACGGAACTTCTGCTTACAGAACTGCAAAGTTTGGGGAAGGAAACATTAGGCTGAGGAGTGCTGGGCTTAAACTGTAACAAGGGATGTGTAGTTAGACATTTATATTTAAAAAAAAAAGAAAAAAGCGCCTATCTTACTCTGATTTTTTATTTTTTTTTAGGTAGTTAACCTACGCAGGCTGTGGCATCTCCCAGTGTTGGAGGCTTTTAAAAGCTGTTAGAGAAGCATCTGTCAGGTAAATCAGAGCCTGCCTCAGGGTAAGGAAAACCTTTTCTGTGATCCAACGAGGCAAGAATGTCCGGGGGGATGAGGCATTCAGCCACAATGGAAGACAACATTGCCAACAAGAAAAATACTTGCGTTATGGGACTTTATTAAAACTCAAAAAGGAAAACAATTTTATGAGCCTAAAATCTGCCTTTGATCGGGTGTCCAAAAGTCAGCCATTCTGCCCCAGAGGTACAGGCATGTTTAATGTATCAGATCCTGGAAAGGGTGAGAAAACTGCTGGTGCTGCCTGAACCAGGGAGGAGGGGACAACGAAACTGTCCACGCTAAGAGGGTCTGCTTTAGGGATTAAAGCTGGGCATTGCACATCCTGTTGAAAACAGGCACAAATAAGAGCGAGGAGGGGGTACTCATACTCATTTGGCAGAAGGAGTAAGGCACAACGTCCCTGTATTTCCCAGATCAGCCATGGCACAAAGCCGTTGCCATTTGGGTAACCAAGGAAGTCTCCTTGCCTTTTCAACCCAGTTCCTTTTCCCCCAGGTTCATCTATTTCTTCTTCCAGGTGGTTCATTTCTCTTCCTGTTCACAGGCTGTGATTTCTGTTACAACCCTACACCTCAGGCACACAGTGTAGTTCAGCCTGACAGCCAGGGATGCCAAGCTACCCACACCACCCAGGGCACTGTTCGCACACCACATTCTGCAGAAGGTTTGCTCTGCTCAGCTGCTCTCAAGATGGGGTGCTCTCTTATCCAATAGCTGTTGCAAGGGCAAAGCAAAGGACATGAGAAGCACTGAATCAGCAGCTGAACAACCTTTAGTTTCTAACAACTTCAGCAAGCACAGTTTGTCTCCCAAAGAAATGACAGAGAGCAGCTTCTAGCATGCTTCACCCTCACCGAGCAACCATGTGCTTCTCAGCTTCTCCAGAACAAATTGCTGCCAAGAGCCTGGCGAAGAGCAGGCTGTGCTTACCTTCCAGCCTCAGACCACAATACTGATCCGGAGAGCAACTTTCTGGCTGGGATGTTGGTTTTATCCATTGTGCATCCTTGGTCATTGGAAAGGCTCGAAGGTAGAAAAAACATGCAGCGAGTCAATCAGTAGCTGCTGTTAAGAAGGATGGGACTTCCCCGTCACATTGCATTAGTACCAGGAAGGGAGGTTACGTGAAAACGGCAACTGACACAGTGCAGCCTTGCCAGCAGATATGCGGCATGGCTAAATGTAATGACCTGTCTGGGGCTGCTGGCTTTACCTGTTGGGCTGTGGTACACACTGCAGTCAATAAGTGCACTGCTATTGTTATTTCTGAAGTGTTATAATTATCCTGTTGTGCCTCACATTTCTTTCTAAATCCATACTGCACACAATTCCTCTAATTTAATCAGATGTACGGACCAGGTTTGTCCCTTAAAGTGACACAGGATTCAGAAGCTCCCAAAAACATTCAAGCTGGTGGAGATGCTGATCAGTGCCTGGGGTTGTTGAAGTCACGTTGTCATCTCCAAGGGGGATTTTGATATGGCTTCTAGTTTTCTGCCAGCCAATTCCTTGCGGTAAAGATGGCATCTGTGGAACAGAACTATAAATATGTAGAGCCACTGTGAAAACACATGTATTGTTTCTCAGACACTTAGTTATAACAATAATGGTTCTGTGCAGATTAGTCATAAGCAAGTATTTCCAGAGTGTAGGATGGGGATGCTACACTGTGAAAAGGCACAAGAACCATCTGCTAAATACACAGGAAGGAAAGCAGTACAAAAACCTCCACCACAAACCTCATGGTTGATTTTGATTTATATTCAGACATTCTCCCACTGCGTTTTGGGAAGGAGACGGTTGCAGTCATGAGAGCCTCTCCTGTAACTCTCACCTAAACAAATTCATAGATGGTGGGGAGCCACTTGCAGAGACAAGATAAGGACACAGCTGTTGATCTGCCTCCTGTTCCAGCCCAGTGTCAGCACGCATTTTATTGTACTCTAGTGCTGGGCAACTAATTCTTGAGGACTCGGAACAGCTGAGGGAATCACAATGTATTCCTAATGGAGGAAAAAAAAATGCCCTTTTTGTGTGGTCTCTCCCCATTTCTGTTTTAGGGAAATTCTTTTAACGAAAAAACATTGACATTTCTGTCAATCAGTCAGCATCCTTCTCTGGAAGGAAAGTTAAGTAAGTGTATATTGCATTTCAAAGGCATGGAGGAGACAGAACAAAAAAAATCAGGTATAATATTGTTCAAACAAGATACAGGACATGAAATAAACAATTCTCAAACTTGAAACACGTCTGCGTTTCTCATCTGACTTATGTGACTGCAGTACAAAGAAGATTGCTTTGCAACAGAACATCATGCAGGCAGATGAGATCTTTTTATCAAGTGAGAAGATATAGATGCAACATTGCATTTGTCTTTAGGCAGGAGTGGAATAGGTGTAGACGTAGAGGGTTTGGGGCTAACTAATCCAGACCTACATGAAAATTATTGGAAATTAGAACACTTTGTTCACTGAAAAAAAACCCAAATGCTTTCAGGTGTTTAGTTTAATCTCCAAAAGAATGGTAAAGAGATTGCATAAACAATTACGGTTTTTAAAACTTTGAAAAAACAACCAAAGTGACACATCTAGGGGGAAAGGTCATGTTTCTTGTAAATCTTCCACACCCATTTCCCAAGGATGATTTACCAAAGTCCAGTTTTAATAATAGGCTTCTGTCAGGGACACAAATTGGAACTTATGTCCTTTGTTTAAACAGGAGTTATATCTTCCAGAGAAACTCACAGCCACCAGCAATACTAGTCAAAATCTGATCCTTGGAAGAAAAAATGTGCATTGCCTTTTTCAGATTTTCAACGAACATGCCATTTTCTCTGCTAGACTTAGCAATCTCCTGGACTCTGGACATAATCCCAGTAGAATCCAATAGAAAAAAATACATGTATGGAAATAATACATGTCAATTATCAACCATTTTTCTGATCACACCATGTAAGTGCAAATCAATAATAAAAGTAAATTTCTTCTCTTACAGGGCTGCTATTCAAAGTGAATATTTACTTGTCGCTTGCACTGCATGAGGACTTATGGGTTGACATCTGGGCTCTCTTCTCTTCCAGACGTTGCATCCCCTGAGAGGAATGGCTAGCACCTTCTGCCGTCTCCTGGCTGGCCGTGCAACCACTGCACTCTTTGCAGCCGCAGGCACCGGGGTGCTAACCACCGGGTACCTCCTCAACCAGCAAAATGTGAAGGCTGCTGTTCAGGAAAAACGGAAACTCTTCCCTCCAAGGTAAGGACTTGGGGATGGCAGTCAGCTGAGCACAGCACCCTGTTGACTGGGCTAGGAGCAACATTTAACTCGTTGGAGGCAGAAAATCCCTATCAAAGCTGCAGAGTCCTCATACAGTCACACCGTCTGTGTGTCTGTCCATGGGCGGCATCACCTGAAAAATGGCACCCTTAATTAATAACCCCAGTTTTAGGTAGCACCAACAATGGCCTTCAAGACCAGAAAGCAGGGATGTAACCAGGGATGCTCAAAAAACCCCATTGCCAAACAATAACAAGCCTAAGAAATGTTTCTAATTTTAGACAGAGCACTGTATTAGTCCTTATTTTATCTCATCAGCTATCAAACAGTTTGCAGCTCAACCTATTGGACCAGCTGACTGTACGGACTCTTAACATTAGGACATGTGAAAATATTTTCATTATGCAAGTAGTAAAGAAATCTCCCACATAACTGCTGTACTTGAAATACTCCTAATTCCATTACAAACTGGCTGGCTGATGATTAGAAACTAATTACAGTCCTTCTTCTCCTCTGTAGGCTGGCTTTGTTGGCCATATTTGTGAAAAGCAATACAGCTCAGGCTCTGACAGACCTTGTTGGGTTTTTTTTAAGTAGCAAATAGTATCCTAGTTAAAATATATTCTTACAGAAATAACAGAGTTGTGTATAAAGCAAATCGTTACCAGTACAAGGTGGATGTGGTCTGACTCAGTTGCAAAAATGCCTTGCTAAAGCATAACATCTTTGTTTTTCCCTGTCCTAGTACAGCATGCACCTTTTTGTAAATAATAATCCCATTAAAGCAAACCCAGATATTGTAGAAGAATGAGCTTCCCAGCTGACATAGATCAGACAGTCCCACGGATTTCCACTATGCTGTGAGAGCACCTGGGCTCTGAATTACAAAGAACTTCTTCAGCTAAACTTAATTCCCTTCCTACTTGACCAAAACAGTATTAGAGCTCTTTTACTTCTAATAAGAGGGACTCAGCAGAGATTTAATGGGGCTTAGTACGCTCTCAGAGCTTGGGATGGATTTTCCTGATGGCCTTGAGTAGCAGAAAGCTGCATTTGCTTGTTGGTGTGGTATGCAACAATGCAACATGGGGTACTTTCAGTGACCTCAATCTTCCTCCCTTCCTAAAATTCAATGCAACACATAAACCAAGAACTAATTATACTTTTAAACCATGCTGAGTATTCTGCATCTCATGATCCCTTTAACAGCTTCATAAACTAGCGAGGATTGCTCTTCAGAGGTAGCACATTAATTGCTTGGGCTTCTTCTTCTCTTCAGCGCAGACTATCCTGATCTCCGCAAGCACAACAACTGCATGGCTGAGTGCCTCACACCAGCCATTTACTCTAGGCTAAGGGACAAGATGACTCCCAATGGCTACACCCTGGACCAGTGCATCCAAACCGGGGTGGACAATCCTGGCCACCCTTTCATTAAAACTGTGGGCATGGTCGCAGGTGATGAAGAATCCTATGAGGTAAGACGTTTCCACAATACTGTTGTATTTGGTTCAGTTTTCGTGGTACCGTTCACAAGAGCTCGTTAGATGAAGACAGATTCTGGGTAGGGTATGAACTCCTAAGATAAATTATATCCTGGAGAGTACCTAAGGGGCAGGTCATGTGCATAAAGATGGTGTTTTTCCTACTCTTATGCATTAGGAAATGCATGAACATGAGGTGTTACTACAGGTGCCCTCTCTGCTGCAACTGAAGTTAATGTACCTGCTTGGAAGCAGCTGCCCTCCTTCCTACAACTGAACTTAGTTTATGGCAAAACTGTGTAACCCTGAGACACACAAAATAAAGGTAAAGTGGAAATCATGTTGTGGAACAGCAGAGGCAGAAGTGAAACAAAAATGGAAAGTGTCAGACATCATTAAGCCACAGTTTTTGGATCATGATGAAAACTGAAGACAGACAGCGTTAGGGTGGCCAGGTTTATTTAACTCTGGAATAAGGAGAAGAGGAAAAGAGAAGAAAGTCCTTGTTTTATTGACCTCCGTGGTCTGCTTCCTTCAGTCTGTCATAAATTGGTACCTATCATTATACAGTTTCCTAACAGTATCCCAAACACTGGGCTGCTGAGGATGGACCGGGACATCTGGCATTCTGGCCCATCAGCTCCTGTTGTTCAGTTTACCCACGTAGATGTGCCACTGCTCCTCATCCACATGAAGGTGTGGTTGTGATCGGTGTTGACACACCTGAGACAAGTGGCTCTAACGAGGACTAGTATCCCATGCTGGTGAAGACATAAGGAACACTACGGAACACTGTCGAGGTCAAAAGCACCCCCCCTTTTCATATCTAGCCCTGTCTGCATTTGCAAAGCCCTCTTTATGTCTGTCACCCAGGAGCTTGTGCCAGGGGACTTCTCCTGTGGCTGAAGCTGGTGCTTTTCAGTGTTTCTCAGATGCTCCAGACTCTTTCTAGATTCTCTTGACTTCATAGGTGTTTGCTGAGATTTTTGACCCTGTCATCAAAGTGAGACATAATGGCTATGATCCACGGACAATGAAGCATCACACGGACCTGGATGCATCCAAGGTAAGACCGAAATAAAATAATGAGACAATAAAGGTTGGGGGCTGCTTCTTACAGTGATGATATTGTATGTAATAGTACTGTTCTTTTTCCTGATCCAACTCCAAAGGCAGTAATGTTTGGGTTAAAGGCAAGTGGGATGCCACTCATGTTCCTAACAGGAAGACGGCTGCATCCCTACACTGTTGCTAGCAGGGGCACCAGTCTCAACTCCACTAAGCTGTCCCACATTTGGGCCACAGTCTCACTTGGCACTGTGGGTCTGTTCACGAGCTTACAGTTAACCGCGTGCCTAAAGGCTGGAAAGAAAGCAGGACTTGACCCCGCTACACCCACGTACACATGATTAAACCTTACCTGCTGCTTAAGATTTCCTTCATAGGTCAACCACACTGTGGTTTAGCATCTTCTTGGGCTTTCCCCTTTCAAAAGATCTTCCGTACCTGGCCCCCTGCCTCTGCCCATATCCGTGTTTCCAAAAGCTGTGTATTTTGGGACCACGAAGGAGTAGCTGGTTACTCTGCCGCATTCATTCAGCCAAAGAAATCTGCTGTTCCTAAAAAATCTCCTGGTGCCTGAAACTGTAAGGGGCTCCTGGTATCCTGAGTATTTGTGATCTCATGGAGAGGGCATGAGTCCTCATGCCTGGGCAGAAAGATACCCCTCTTTTTGTATGATGGGATTTGGGTTTTTTTAATAGTGGAGTACAACACCAAGGACTGTGTGTGAACTAATGAAACATTTTCCCTTCAGATCACCCATGGTCAATTTGACGAGCGCTACGTCCTCTCGTCACGGGTGCGGACTGGCCGCAGCATCCGGGGCCTCAGCCTTCCTCCTGCCTGCACCAGGGCAGAGCGGAGAGAGGTGGAGAATGTTGTGGTCACCGCGCTCGCTGGGCTGAAAGGAGACCTCTCTGGGAAGTACTACAGCTTGACCAATATGTCCGAGAGGGATCAGCAGCAGCTTATTGACGTAAGTATAGCTCCAGCGCTGACACCACCTTCATTTACTTTCTACCTTAGTCTTCATCTTTCTTTGGGGTACCTGCTTTGCTGTGTAGCTAAGGAGGGTAATCACAGCATTAACCCAGTAGTTAATGGTCTGACAATAATTTTAATATAATGGCAAATCATCCAGGGTCTATATTTTGGCTAAGTACATATTGTGCAGGTCCAAAACATGAACTTACATTGCAGATAGCGAGATATGTGTCAAATCACATATACATGGCTGCTGCCACCTCTTTGGACAAATAACAGAGTAAATCCAGGACTTTTTCTTGGTCATTTCCTCGAGCAAAGATTGCTATTTTCTTTATCAATAACGATTCTAACAAAAAATATTACATTGAGATAAGCAGTATGTATTATGTGTATTCTGGACTGTTGGGGTGGGAGCTTTGGCTGTAATCTCCTTATGTCAAAACTACACTAATTCTAATTTCCCCCAAATGGCTGTAGCCAACTGCACCCAGGTGTCCTTTTTCCAGTCCTGTAACTGTGTTTAAGGACTTGAAGGATCAGGCCCATAACAAGAGTTTTCATTGTCACACAGATGGGAACACAAGGATTTTCATCATGGATTTTGTCACAGCATGTGACATGTCAAACAACCTTTGAATGTGCATTTTAAATATCCAAAGGAATGGCTGTACCCTGTTAGCTATATTCATAGAATCATAGAATCATAGAATGTTTTGGGTTGGAAGGGACCCCTAGAGGTCATCTAGTCCAACCCCCCCGCAGGAGCAGGGACACCGCTAACTAGATCAGGTTGCTCAGAGCCCCGTCCAACCTGGCCTTGAATGCTTCCAGGGATGGGGCCTCCACCACCTCTCTGGGCAACCCATGCCAGTGTTTCACCACCCTCATTGGTGGCACATTAATCCATAACATCAAACAAAAGAGAGCTGATGAAGTAACATAACTATTTGTAACTCTGGAACTAGGTGTCACAGTCTGGATTAACCAGGAGTTAAGAATTTATATAAGGTCAGTAACTTTTTGAATTGAATGTCCTTGGTAATATGTTTATTGACAAGATGTTGATGACCTATTGTAGGTTTTATTTATTGCCTTTTTCAAAGAGCCCCTCAGAAAGCAGAGGTTGAAATAGAGTGTGGAGAATATAATTCCTTCATGGTTTAAGCTTAAATCCTTTGAGAAGCAGAATAAGCTTCACTGATTCAGCATTTTACCTTGTTTTGTTTGTTTTTATGGTAATGTGAATTTACAGAAATCAGGGCATTGAATGTTGTTACCTCAGGTTCCATCTTTAACTTACACCATTGCTTACCTCCTCTAGTACCTTAGGACCTTGAACCTCTATAGTATCAGGCTTTCTGCCAGCCTTTAATAAGCACCATTTGCGCTCTGTAAGATCAAGTCAGCACTAGCTGAATGGCATTCGGCACAGAAGGCATTTGGTACTTTGCAGATTTAGGCCATATGCACGTGAGGGAAACTAATAGTGATCAGCTGTTTTCTTGCAAAAATGGGAATTTTTCTTTCAAGCAAAAGAGTCGAGTGGAGCAAACCAAGGAAGGAAATGTTGAGTCCCTGTGACAAGCAAAGAGAACTCTATGCCTTTTCTCTCTGCATGGTTGGGGTTCTGGATGCATCATATCCATCACAGGGTGTTCAAAGATGAAAACCTAAATTCTCCACTAAGGGGAAAAAGACGTAAAGCATATGAACTTGTCTACTGTGTCATATTTATTCTGGATAGCTTGCCTCACTATTATTAATTAAACACTAGATTTAAAAAAACCAACCAACCAAACACTCATTAATATTTCAGCATGCACATGAAAATCAAATACTTATCTGCTTTGGGAAAAAAAAAACCAGCTCCATTAAAAAGAAAAAGAAAAAACTAAATTATCTGGAATGTGGCAAGTTGGTGGCACAGCAGGTGCTGCTTTTATTAAATCAGAAATAGCATCTCTGTTAAGGAACAGAACAAGGCTGTGATTCCGAAAGGTCAAGCCTAGCACTGATTTAATTCCTACCTTGACTTCATGCTCAGAATAGATTGCTAAACCTCTGTGTTGGAGAAATATCTTTTCAGAACTAGCTTCCCTCTCCCCCCCCACAGTCTTTAAGGACTCATTGCCTTCTGCCACCCTGAAATTTATCTGTATACAGAGAACATCTCTTGTGCTAGCAGTCAGGTCCCTGCAGAGTACCCTTTAGTGTCTGTATGTGGTATTAGGTTCTCCCATTCCTCTCTACACTTGAAAAATATTTTTTTGCAAACATGGTCCTGTTACCAATATCAGTGAGAATCTGCAAGACTCAAGAAGATCACTGGCGCAAAGTGATTTTAGTTTTCAGATTACGGAACCATATTCACAAGCTGTACTATGCGATCTACTTCTACGTTGATTGCCTTCACATAAAATGTATTAGACGGCGTTATACTGCTTCCTTGAACAAACTTTAATTTTGTTTTGTTTTGTCTTGTCTCTCTCTCTCTTTCTCTTTCTCTCTCCCCTTGGCCCCATTTCTGTTAACAGGACCATTTTCTCTTTGATAAGCCAGTGTCCCCTTTGCTAACGTGTGCTGGGATGGCACGCGACTGGCCAGACGCCAGAGGAATCTGGTATGTGGTGTGACATGCAGAAGCTTGCATCGTGTTTTAAAGATTGTGTTACAGATCTCCTTGCTTGTCCTAACCTTGCAGCCACTCCGCCCCCATGCTCACAGCATGTTCAGTTTGCTTTTTAAAAAGATGTTTTCTTGCTTAATTAAAAAAAAAAAAAACAAAACACAAATGAAATCCAGTATAAAACAACAGAATGGGTAAGACCTTTATATTCAAGAAGCCATCACTAATATCTTCCACACCACACAGTATCATAGGCATGGCTCCTTCTGTGGGCTTTTGTCTCCATTTTTTCTATTTCTAGATAAAAAATTTGATTTGGGAAAGAGCCTGTAGGTCACCACGCAGTCAGCAGAGCTGAGGTTATAAAAGCAGCTCTAACATCAGATTGTAGTCATGCTGTCAGCTAGGAACCCCTGGCCGTACAGCTGCAGGACACCACACTCCAAATTCCTGTACCCCTCCTCACTGCCATGAGACAGTGTCATTTTAATTCCCAGAGCTGAAAGTAAGCCTTTCTTTCCAAATGAATTGGACAAAAAGGACACGTAGAAGTTGAATTTCCTATTTTGTCCTAGGTCTGTTTCTACTTTCACAACACACTTGACATATTTTGTGCCCAAATATGGTATTTTCTGGGGAGAGAAATGGATAACAGCTCTGAGGTCAGTGCACACACCCGCTAGCAGGGGATGGGGGAGGCTCTGCGGTGCATAGCATCTGCACCCTTCCTGGTATACTTCTAGGCATTACCAGATGCTTTAATTCTGAAATATTAGGCTAAAAAAGGATTCTGAGGAATAACCTAGCCTGACTGCTTGCCCGAGGTGGGTTCAGGACCTTCAGAGGGGATGGGACTTTATGTGGAAAAAACCCCAAGGTGTTCTCCAAGCAGTGTTTGACAGTACTGGCTCATGCTCAGAAGCACAGCCAGTATTACTGCGATGAGCTAAACGTGATTTCTGCTGGGAGCAAGTGCTGTGACACCTGATCACCCTCAAAACCTGGCGACCTGCTGGAAATATGTGAGGATTTTTTTATTTCAACAAGCTTCAGATTAGTTCCCCGGTCCCCAACTAAATCTGAGGAAGAAGAAAAGGATAAATCTGAGGCATCCCATTCGTTGTCTCTACAAACAAACAGGAGAAGTACCAACAATATAAATACTATCCAGGGATCTTCCAAATAAAACAGACCTGGGTTTTGGCTTGTTTTACATATGAAATATCAGTCAGACTGGAAAAAAATTAGTATGATTGGAAAGTATTTCAGTAAGCCACATTTGGAAAACCTGCCTTTCCCTTGCAAGAAGTTGTTGTCAAAAAGAGAATGCGTTCTGGAAACTGTTTTGCTTACAAAGATTGCGCTCCTGACCTTGTTATGGGCTGCAGGACTATTCCCACTGACCTCACCAGCAGTGATGGCACAGTTCAAATGCACTCAGTGTGGTCTCCCTCCACGTTCCTTAAAGCAATGGGGAGACTTAGTTAATTAGAGGGGGAGCTGAGTCGAGCCAACCTCAGCCAGTTTGGAAAACCCTCCCCCTGATCATTCGTACGTGACTGAAGACGAGGTCACTGGACCTTGGGTGACCGTAACATCAGGGCACAGGATGTTTACATCTGGCAAACTCGAAGTGCAAAAAAGGGTATTGCAGTTAAAGACCGTCTGAAAGTCAGGCTCAGGGTGAACTTTCACTTTCAAATTTCATGTGTTTCAAACCTGGAAGCATTCCACTGTTTGTACGAATGAGTCTGATCCCATCGATCACCACCTACGTGCTGTAGAAAGGCCGTAGTAGACAACAGAAAAAGTGGAGAAAAAGCCAGGAAAAGTGACCTCGGGTTTGACCCAGCACTTAATAAGCCTAGCCATGACTGAATTGTCTGAAGCAAGAGTGGGTATCTTAGGGCATTTTTATCCTGACTGACAAGCTGGCATCCCTAATGTGCTGTCCAGGAGCAACGTGCAGATGCTGTCCTCAGACGCCTGGCTTGACTGATATGGCAATCCAGTGCTACCAAGCGATACAGAGGGCACTGGGATTTGATTTAGGGGAGAGTACAATTAAGTAAGGACATATTGCTTGGCCACCAGCAGCATGTAAACATTTGGGGTTTCTTTCCTAGCTGCAGGGTTTGCAAAGAACAATAAAAAACATCCCTGGTGACAGAGGATGGGGAGCTCAGCTGCTCCCTCTGCTGCACCTCCCAGCCGTGCTCTTGCTAGAGGACAACGTGCTTTTCCTCGCTCAGCACCACGGCAGCATGATGTGATCAGAAAAACTGCTCAGAAAAACGTGCCCAAGAGACCCGTGCAATGCCATTGGCACGGGGCATCCAACCGTGAAAGCCGCTCAGGTCCCTAACTCCACAGAATGATGTCATTCTGCTGCGCTTAACCTCTCCACAGCCCTGAAAGACTGTGATAAAGCTAAGGATACTAAGAACTATTTTTCAGGGCTTGTCTTTTTAAAGATTCTCTTTCTTTTTTTTTCCCTCTCCACCAGGCATAACAATGACAAGACATTTCTCATCTGGATTAATGAAGAAGACCACACCAGGGTGATCTCCATGGAGAAGGGTGGCAACATGAAACGGGTGTTTGAAAGATTTTGCCGTGGTTTAAAAGAGGTAGAACCTCAATGAGTTTATTATCGCCTTTTGTTTATTGTTGAGCTGTTGTCAGCACTGCTTACCATGGTTCATACTGAACTGTCATCTCCGGGAGCAGCAAAACGAAGTAACACCAGTCCACATAGCAACCCACACTAATGCAGTTACAGAAGGAAACATGGGCAAAATGCTAGCTGAGTTGTAGGGGAAAATAAATAAAATGCTCTTGTAGCTTTTGTATTAAAATCTTCAGCACAAGCTGGCTGAAGAAATATCCCCTTTTTGCCACTTTGTGCCTGCAGGCTGTGGGAATTCATAAATCAAGAATTTTATTTGGATTGATTGCCTGGTTTGCTTGCATTAAGAATTTATTCGGCCCAGCCCCCTGGTTCTCATCCCTGATGCTGGGAGCGGAGTGGATGCTGCTGAGGTTGTGCACAGGACTGAGGACTTAAGACCCATGGGCTCACTGCCAATTTGGGGTAGATATGGGGTTTTGTGATTAAAATACTAAAAACTGACAGCCAGGGCTCTTGGTCTAGCTATTCATAAAGACAAAAAAAAAAAAAAAAAGCTTTCATGAGATGGTCGGTGGATTAAAACAGTTTTGTCCAGACAATGCAGGTATAGCTGCAAGTTGGTTCCAGCCCTGTGCAGCCCTGTGTACTGCTCTGGCACAGAAAAAGTTGCTTTAACAGAGAAAGAGGATTTTACTGTGTCCCACAAGCAATATAGCAAGGTGCAGCAGGACAGGTGATGTGGCCAGACACTATTCTCCACTACTCTTGTCCACATCAGTCCTGGTTGGATTGGCATAAAACATGAAACCCTAGAGGTTAAACTATGTCAGACCAAAACTGGCTTGAAATTGTCTCCAAGACTGTAAGAACATTCAGGCTGCATAAACCAACTATTTCTCCCCATTGGGATCCTTGGCAAGCTCACTTCATCTGAACTGTGGAGGAACAGCATTTGTCTCCACCTCACTGCTTTTCTTCCTGGGTATGGAAATGCATACTGGGCCAGCCTTTGACTGTTTGCTCCATTCTTCTTATGTTGGCAAAACAGCTTATCTGGCTTCATCCCTGTGCCAAAAACCCCCAGCAAGTATAGAATCATAGAATCGTTTAGGTTGGAAAATACCTTTATGATCATCAAGTCCAACCGTTAACCTAGCCCTGCCATCCCACCACTAAACCCTGTCCCTAAGCATCTCGTCTGCCCGGCTTTTAAATCCCTCCAGGGATGGGGATTCGCCCACTTCCCTGTCCAGCCCATTCCAATGCTTGACAAGCCTTTCAGTGAAAAAATTTTTCTAATGTCCAACCTAAACCTGCTCTGGTGCAACTTGAGGCCATTTCCCCAAGTGTAGAGCTGATACAGCTGTGCAGCCATTCCATATAACTTCACAGCCCCCAGCCAAAAAACACAAGGCCAAGCCGGGACAACAGGGACCTACAGCCTCTTAATTGTGGAAGCAGAGGAAGTTCAGGGCATTCATAGGGAAGTTTGAGTATGTAGTGTGTTTGAGAACACAGAAAACCCAAAGCAACTAATGTATGCTTCTTTGGCATTGGGGTGGTTAACTGGGACCTTTTAGACCTCCAGGGTATACCCCTGAAACTGAATGGTGAGCAGGGTCATGGCCCAGGTGACATGGCTTGAGGATGCTGTCCCCACCTTTGCCTCTGCTGCTGCACTCAGCTCACATTCAACAGCGGTGGACCTACGGACCTGGCCATCGGAAGCGGTCAGACAGCTTTGGGAACAGCAGCCAGAGCAGGAGATCAGGATTCCCACCATCAACTCCAGTGGCCTCACACAATATAGGAATGATGTTAGGAGAGTCCTTTATTCTGTATGCTTCTGGAGAATGGAAGCATTCACCTATATTTGCAGAGGTCTTGAGAGCATGAGCTGGTTTATGTATCTGAGTCTTCTCTGGAGGAGAAGAGAACTGAATTGAAATGGTATTTGGATCACAGAAGTCCAGTAAGTATAGATGAGTGAACAGAGTATCAGCCTATTCAAAGGTCAATAGACCCTTGTGACTTTTCTGCAGATAATTACTTCACTCTCCTTTCTAATCTGGTCAGAGATCTACCAATGAAAAGCATTATACACAAGCTATGTTGTCTCCCTATAATGGAAGTGTGGCTGTTAATACCAGGCATTTAGAAGTCCAGTGTCCTCCCCTGAGAATCATGGCATCACCTTGAAAATTACACAAAACTCAGCTTCAGCTCCTTTGTTTGCTTTGTAGCATTAAAGTCCTTTGGGCTTGTGTGTTGCAACCTTGCTCCAAAAATACCAGGGTTAGAAATGCATGGCCAAAGCCGTAATTCTTATGTGAAATTATGGGTTCATGGGCTAAGGCTATACCAAACCACTATGACAGGAAGCTTTGTGATAAAGTGACAGAGTCTATGAGCTAGTGGTTGTGGGAAAACAATGAAGAAATCCTTGTAATGTGCACTGGCGACCTTGGTGTCTGATGAATGCAAACATTTGCATCAGATCCAAACCAGACTGTACTTGGGTGTAAATGTATGCAACTCTGCTGGTCTTACTGAAGTTCATCATCAGCACAGATATGTGGTGAAAAGAATCTCAGCTATAAGCAGACATTTTAAAATAAGACATTTGTATGCTGCCCTTTTCTTTTTGCTTTTTTTTTTTTTTTTTTTACCATCACAGGTGGAAAGATTAATTAAAGAACGGGGCTGGGAGTTCATGTGGAACGAGCGTCTCGGTTATGTTCTGACCTGTCCTTCCAACCTGGGAACCGGTTTACGTGCTGGAGTCCATGTTAAGCTGCCCAGGCTTAGCAAGGTACAGAAGTCAGTTAAAAGGCCTGTGACATAAGTCAGCTCTTCTGACTTATAAAGAAACAAATGAAAAATGACAGCTTGCAGCGACTCTACATGAACATGATGTGCAACAAAGTCCCAGGGATAACGCATGACTAATTGAGCACACTTTTGTCCTGTAAATTATTGTATTTGTTATGGAAATTAATCTACTCAGCAGACAGACGCCAAGACAGGCTCTAATCCAAGGACTGAGGAAACTATCCACCTCTGCCTGTATTTCTGGAGATGCTGTTAAGTCATGGACAAAAGCATTGCAAGGATTCGGCACAATAGGCAGGGTAAAAGGCAGTAAGCTCAAACCTCTTTTTTTCTGATAGGATCCTAGGTTTCCAAAAATCCTGGAGAACCTGAGGCTGCAAAAGCGCGGCACTGGTGGAGTGGACACGGCAGCTGTGGCAGATGTGTATGATATCTCCAACCTGGACCGCATGGGTCGCTCAGAGGTAACCTGTTGATTTTTTTTTTTCCTTGCTTTTTAGCTCAGATCTGTACTGACATGAGTACGTTGCCCTCTGGTTGGGTTTGCTCCACTGACCTCAGTGGACCCATGGCAGTTTTTACTCCCAATTAATCTGGTCCAATGCAAATGCTTACACAATGAAAAAATACTGATGTCCATGAAGTGCTTGCCCAATATTCCTGTTGCGACAATGAGAAAAAAAAAAAACCCTGAGCCAGTTCCACAGATGTGGCTTGTTTGCACCACATGCCAAGGCTCTCTCCGTGGAGAGCATGCGGGTGCTGGAAAGATTTGGCTTTGGTAACAGACTTCCCTCGGGATGATGTTTCTCAGCACCACAGCACAAACTCTCAGACCTGCCTGCCCCCTGGAGGGCGCAGCCATGAGATCGGTGCCCGGCTGTCCCTGCAGGGCTGGACATGAGACGTGTGTGTGTAAGACATTGTACAGCAGGCACTGCATGTCGGGCAGGTACCAGCTGTGCCTGCTGCAAAATGTTGGGGAAAGAAGCAGAGACTGAGTCCTAACCCACCCAGGGAATCGGGCACCGAAAGTGCGACAGTTTAAGGTGTTGCTTTCCTTTTAGTATTCAGTCATGCACTTTCTCCACAGTTAGGCAGCAGGACAAGGCCAGTCCTTTCACTCTGAAATAACTGAGAAGGAGGAGTTAGTGCCATGTTCATGTGTCCTGCGTGGCACTGAGCAGAGGATGCAGGAGAGCTAGGTTTAAATGAGGGCAAAGATTGAATTCTCAGTTTTGAGCGGTCCCTATTGGGCTGTAGGCTACAATGAGATGGGTTTGTCTCAGACATTTGTTTCAAAGCCATTTCAGCTTGAATGAGTATTTGTTGTGCCAGAGGGTGGCAATGACCCTACAGCCTGGTGGTGATGCTGCTTTCCTGGGAGACTTGGGTTCCAGACTTCATTCCAGTTTCATCTTTAAGTATTTTATAAATTAGAACAGCTCCTAAGAGTAAATCTCCTGGAGGATGGGGGAGAAGCAGCTGTGTCAAGGAGTTGTAGCTTCCTCCCACTAGCTCTGCCTGAGCCAAACCCTTATTCCAGGCCACAGGCTGCAAGTACTGTGGTACCACTACAGCTTCCCTTTCCTCACCGGGACCAGGGCTGCTTTCACCCTTGGCCACATCAAGAACAACTAAGACAAAAATTTACCTTCCAAGACCCTGTGACTCCAGTGATTTGAGTAGTTCTAGATTTCTTCTAGTAGGTAGGAAGCAGGGGCCTTCTGTCAAAGATATCTTTCACCCCCCAGATTCGTGCTGTAACCTCTCAGCTATGGTCAACTGGGCATGCCCCAGTGGGACCGATCTCTCCTGAGGACCCTTTATCTCCACTAGCAATGCAATGCACGATTTGGGTTCAGATGCCAACCTGCTGGCACATGTCAGGATTTGAAGGGCTGCCTGCTTGCCCAGCAACAAAATTTTAATTGCCTTGTGGGCTTTGCTGCAAGTTAAAACCCCACTGCAGAGAAAAGCATGCTGCCAAGGTGTGTTTATGCAGAACAGCACAGCACCAACAGGCTTTGGCAGCTTCGATATGGATGCAGTTTGGTCCTGCTGTTGCAGTGCAACGCCCGAGTTCAGCCCGACTCTTGGTAGGCTTTCGTAACACGAATATATACAACCCTGGGATAACGCACCTGGGTTACAACCAGATTTAAACTGGTTCACAGACAGCTGGCTTCCCTTCCTCGCTCACCTTGGGGTTTTGGCCACTGGGACAGAGCCAAGGCAGGTCTTTGTGCCTTCTTATTCAGACACGCCCTTGAACGTCTTCACAGCCAAGGGGCATTTGGACACAGGTTTGGAAATCTAAATTTCGAAGTTTGATGTAGGCAGCTATGTTCCTTTGGATCTAAACTGAAATAAATTGGAGCGAAAAGCTATTAAGCTGTACTATTTGCAAAAACAGTATGTGACAAAGACATTTATTAGTACCTGAAACATCATCATGTGTGCTTTATGCTAAAATAACACTAATAATACAAAAGGATTACAGGGCATGATTAATTAATATGAATTCTGCTGACAGATGGCCTAAGCCTACAAATTTTTGCTCATATCAAGACTTTCACTGAAGCCAGTGATACCTTGTGCAGCAAGGATTCAAAAGATTAAGCCGATAACTAAGATGCAATCCCTACCTTGAAGATTCTGAAGTCTAAATAGACAAGACAAACTCAAGGGGATAGAAGTGTTTTATTATAAGACATATTTTTTTCAGTACATAATAAAATAAATTCCATTATGTGGTAAATGTGTTTGCAGAACTGAGTTATGTTCCCAAAGGTGCAAGATAAAATTGTTTGTATTTTTGCTTTGTTTCAGTTACTGGTCAATGCAAACTTAATATGAAATTCCTTTTCTTGTTGAGGCTGCAAATTCAGACCTCTGATTTCCCAACACAGCTGGTCTGTAAAATAAACTGCTAAGCCACTGAAATGCTTTATAGTAAAAACAAATCCGTTGAAAGTCTGTGACTGTCACAATAAAGAGACAGTGGGATTTAATCTTTGCATTCGGTTTTAACAAACCAGTCATTAAAGGTTGCTAATGAACCATTTCATGAACATTAAGAAAAATCAGTGCTATAGCTTGCTGGCTAACAGTACCACAGTGCCTGTGGTCCTCGCATGTCACCGCCTGTGGAGAAAGCCTGCTGGGGACAAGGCACCTTGTCTTCTTCAGCAATTTTGAAAAAGGTTACAAAGACACCACTACCCCCTGCCATATAGAATTGCAAATTTTGGTGCTGCTCTGGGCCTGGAGCTAATCCCATCCCTGCCAGTATAAATCAAGAGCTGAAAACAAAGGAGTGATGGATGATGTAGACGCAGCATGAGTTCAGGATGAGCACCTCTGCTTCAGAGATGTGGGTCCTGGGCTTGGCAAAACTGCCTCGACAGAGCCAGCATGCTCGTCAGAATGAGTAGGACATCTGAGTCCTACTGACTGAGTAATCATTACAGCAGGGCTCACAGTCATCTGCAGGGGAACGTGCAGTCCTGAGCCACACATGTGAAGAAGCACAAGACTCTGGTTTGACGAGCTTTCTCAGGCAGCCCTGCCACCTCCCAGTCCCAGCCATGGAGGACCCCGTGCCTCCAGCTGTGTTTCAGGGCTGGTGTGAATCAGGGCAATAAGCCTCTGTCCTCTCCTTCTGTCCGACTCTGGGCTCACATAAATGCTCCTGCAAGCACAGGGGCAGTACGGGCTTGGGAGCTGGGAAAACATAGCAATGGCATTAGCTGCTTCAGTGTGAGCTGCGCAGTGATGCTGAGCTCTCCCAGCACTGCTGTCTTGGTTTCTTCATCCTTGTCCATAAGTAACTTTAGGGACCTATTCGAAAATTTCTGTTGCTGGCAGCCCAAACTCAGGGCAAACAGGAGAAGGGATTACTCTGGGTTTCCACTGGACCAGCATGATCCATGCTCCCTGTGCCACAGGGTGTGAGATCTCTATGCCATGACCCTCCTTACAGCCTTACCTGCTGTCATTGCAGTAAAAGACAGTTTTCCCTTCCTCTATTAAGAGCACTAGCTAAAGATTCTATTACTACTATTTTCTTCTTGTTGTTGTAGGTGGAGCTAGTCCAGATTGTCATCGATGGGGTCAATTACCTAGTTGACTGCGAGAAGAAACTGGAAAGAGGGCAAGACATCAAAGTGCCACCACCATTGCCTCAGTTTGGCAGGAAGTGATCTTGCTGCCGATGGCTAGCAACTGATGGAAAATAAGGTTGCCATTCTGACAGAAAGGTGCCTCTGTATATCTCTGTATAAATATATTCTGTAATAAAACACTACCTGAAACCTGATGTCTCCTTAGATGCCTGGCTGCCCTGGCAGAAGCTAGTCTTTGTGCAGCTTTACCAGGACACACTCAATACAACCACCATGGTATGCTCTTTTGTGGGGACTGCTTCCCTTTCTTTCTTGGTTGTTGGTAGGAGAAGTATTACCTGGGCAATGCAAAAAGCACAAATCCTTAATTCTAGCCTGCATTTGCACTTATGGCCATACTTACAAAGTCTCCTACGAGCACCCGATTTTCATTCACAGATGCACTTCTCTCCATTGACTGTCCAGGCAGCCGAAATCTGCCAGCCTGAGGGGCAGGCACTGTGAAGTGCTCATTGCTTCTTCAGCAACCACTGGACACCACGTTGAGCTCAACAGTAGTGTTGTAGCTGCTTGTAGTAGCAGCTGCATGTGCGTTCAGTCTCTGAAGTCCACCACTTGACCGGTCATCAGGAACCCCACAGGTGTCTTCATGGGGGCTGTCTCTTCTCTGTCCAGGACTGGTCTGCACACAAAATTCTTTACCAAGTCATCCCAAACCCTCAGACTTTTTCACTCCTGGACAACTCACCAGGTCACTTCTTGGCTGCTTCGCTCATGCCTCATTTTTGGCCTGTGGCCTTGGGCTGCAGCAAGCTGGCCCAAAACTCAGCAAGCAAGTCAGTTGGCCAATTTTCTGTATCCAACATAAACCTGCCAAGCAGGGCCTGTCCCAGTCTTCTTCTGCAGCTTTCAGGTTCCAGGTAACGGGGACCAGGCTCAGCTAACCGTCAGTCATCAAAGTGCCTTAAGATTCCAAGTGGTGAGTAGCTTGGTGGGAAGGAAAAAATAGCAGATGCTAACAGTCCCATTGATTGATTCTTTTTTGCATCTTGAAATATATTCAGTGTTTCACAGTAACTGCATTCAAAACACCAGTACTCAGGAAAAAAAAATAGTCAAAACATGCTCTGATGAATGCGCTGTCTGCATTGCTGTTGAGTAGGGAGTAGCATCAGCAGAAAAAGTTTCAGGTCTGTGTAGACAGCAAAATAACACTGTTGAGGTGCCCACTGCTACTGTAGGTATGGGTATGTCCAGGACATGCAGTCCAGGGGTGTCCAAACTGGTGCTTTGGAGCCTATTGCAGCACCTTGAGCAATGCTGGCTTAGTTTATAAAACTCACATGGTGTAAGCTCTGAGAAAACATTTGAGAAAACACGTTAGCATTAGTTTAAACCTCATGTGGTAGGGACTCCACTAATGAAGCATCCTTCATCAGAAACCTTTCGGCTGACATCTGCTGTACAATGCCAGGCTGGTGCAAAGCCCCTTGAGAAGGTTTTTCAGTGAGTCATATCTGAAGAGCTGTGACTGCATAGCTAGTCCATAACCAGTTACAGACTTTAAAAATCACAGTTGGAAGCTAACGGAGAGCTAGATGGTGAATTAGCAGCTCTTGGAAATCAGCAGCATGGCGTGCTCTTGTTTCTTGCTCAGGAGGAGAGCTGTTGCAATAAAGTAGGTTGGAGCTTCCATATGATTGCTGTTTCTTCCTCATCTATGCTGGGTAAATTCCCTAACATTTTGCTACTGGCTTTGTAAATGGTGGTTAATAATAGTAATTCTGAGGGAGGGAAAGAAACTTCTGCTGATTTCACATAGAAGGCAAAGAAGTAAAAACTGGGAAGACTTCACTGTTAGTTCTCCAAAACACTCAGATCAAAACAAAATTCAACTGTGGGCCAAATGTCCTCAGATTATAGCCTCTATTTGCTTTTCTCCTGCTGACTTGCAAACTGCTGATAGGCAGTAGTATGAAGTCCAGCTGGCAGCTATTTACTAACAGCATTCCTGAGGGGTTGATACTGGAGCTGATGACACTGTTTTAATACCTTTAATAACGACCTGGATGATCGGGTGCATTACATGGTCAGCCAAGTCCACTGCTGGTGCTAAATAAAAGGGAGCAGCTGGTACACTGGAGAGCAGGGCTGCTCTTCAGAGCACATTTGACTGTAGAAATGGGCTGACAGAAATCTCATGAAGATCAATAGAGGCAGGCACAAAGTTCTGCACCTGGGATGGAGCAGCTCCATACAACAGCACAAGCTGGAGGACAAGAGAGTGGAAAGCAGCTTTGCAAGCACTTAGGGTCCTGGTGGACAGCAAGTTGAACATGAGTCACCAGTGTGCCTGTACTGGCATGTATTACATGTGAGTGTAGCCAATAGCTCAAGGGACACAATTATGACCCCGCCGTTTTGTACTTGTACGACTTCATCTGGAGCACTGTGTCCAGTTTTGGGCTTCCCCAGTACAGGAAAGACAGCGACAAACTGCAGCAAGTCCTGGACAGGGCCACCAAGATGGTTGGGGAGGGGCTGGAGCATGACCTACGACATGAAGCTGAGGAAACTGAGTTTTTTCAATCTGGAGAAAAGGCAGCTAAGGGGAAATCTTACTAATGTCCACAACTTCTGTCTACATCAGAGGATGGAAGGAAGACAAGCTCAAGACTCTTCCTGGAGGTACACAGTGACAGGACATGAGGCAACAGACACAAGCTGGGACACCGGAAATTCCAGATAGATATTAGGAACACTTTTTTCACTATGACGGTGGTCAAACATTGGAACAGACTTGGAGATACTCAAAACTCAAGGAACAAGGTCATAGGCAATATGATCTAATTTGGCCCTGCTTTGGGCCTGGGGTTGGATGGGTGGGGTGTGCTGGATCAGATCACCTCCAGACCTCCAGCCTACATAATTGTGTGATCTTGTGATTGAATCAATTGAATCAATTATTGCAAAATGCCTGCAGATGAGTAAATACATCAGAGAAATGCTCTGGCCATCCTGTGCTCTGACCAAACGTGGAATTAAGCTGCACAAAATATGACACACTGATAAGATTTACTCTCTGCTACGGTTAAACTGTGGCTTTCTCTGTATTGCTGGCTTCCAAATGTGCCCTTCACAATCAAGATACTCTTTCTCATATGGATTACTTTGTAAAAGCTTGTTATTTGCCATCTACATTTTTCACTTCTGTGATCCTTCTTATTCTCTGTGGCCACTGTCAGCAAGAGTAACTCCACGGATTAACATGCATGATGTATTTTCGTTCTTCATTCCACACCACTATTTAGTATTTTAAATGAAACTTGCACATACCTATTAATGTTATACATCTTTATTCAGTCCTACTCCACCATTACGGTCCTCGGTCCAGTTTGCTGTCTGTGTGGACCACATTTCTCTCCAAGTCGAGTAAGCACATCCCGGGGCTGGGAGGTGTGGGGAGTCTGTTCCTGTAAGCCTTCAATAACAGCTTAAAAGCACCAAAACTGCAGCTGCATTGTTTCCAGAGGATATGCTACAGTGAATGGCTGCAGCAGGAAAAAAAAAAAGGAAAGGTTATCAAACAAAAAAGAGAGTACATTGCTGAGATCCTCTTCTGCCAATAAAACTCTTTCCTGATAGATTCAGACACTGATTCTCTATAAATCTTTGGAATTCATTTGGTTAAGTACTTCAGTAAGAGCTATATGCCTTGCCTCAAGTACTTTTATAATCTTCTTGACAAACACATCAGCAACTAGAGATCAGCAAAAGTAAACTCTCAGGTCATGGTCCATCAAAGCCCAGCAGTGGTCCATCAGGCAGTTCAGGCAGGGTGAGAACTAGAGTGCAATTTGCCATTAGAGGACAAGGGGAGAGTGGGCACTGTACTCTTAGCTCTACCAGGAGACAGACAATGACTTTGCAAGAGATGCCTCTGTACAACAGTGAACGCATTCTTCTGTGTTGAAACCGCAATACAAATACTCCTCTAAAAATAAATACCTTGTCTAAATGGCTGGGGTGATGGGATTAAACTGTGTTGATCTGCGTTTGCACCACAGGGGGACCAAAGGCACTCAGAACACTACAGATCCTTTGACCTGTGCACTAGTGCTAATGACAGACCTTTTCCAAGGCATGCACATGGTAAAGGAAGAGAAAAAACAGTGGATGAAAGGAAAACAGGCTGAAAGCACAGGGGAAGGGGAAGGGGAGGGGGAA